TCCTGAAAAACTTCTTTCTTGAATTATTTTCTCCCTTTCTTTCTCCTTTCCATGGACAGGAGTTATTTCAAGGCTTTAGGATATTTAGCATCCTTCCTTCCTTAAAGTGGCTTACAAAAATAAACAAGGATAGATATTGTTCAGAAAGCAAAAGAAACAAGATGAAGCGACCAAAAAAAAAAGGTGGAAAAATAAAAATAAAGGCAGGTCTGACACACTGTAAGTGCTCGGAGATCTTTTCTCACTTGCTAGTGGTGATTATAAATTTGGCTCTGAGTTTCCCCGAAACCTTAGCAAAGGGTGGGAAATGCTCCCATTTATGTGACTCATCATTCCTAAAAGATGCTTTTTTGGTCATGAATGAGAAACATTAATGAAAAAGCACAACAGTTATTTTGTAGAGAAGAATCAGAATCTTAAACCAAGGTGTTCGTATTAAAGGCAGGCAGTGCAGCAGGGAAGTTTAGAGAGCCTGTGGGGCAGGGAGACCAGGAACAGTAGGAGGAAGGCCAGCTAAAAAGAATCAAGACATAAACTTTTTTCTCCAGAGTTTGGGGTCATCATCCTGAGAAATCTTCAAAGAGCAAGTTTGTATATATTTGGACTTTCCTCCGCTGACTCATCTCTTGCCCAAACCCTGTACTTTGTGGAACTAGAAATTGATAGAAAAAAAATTCTTAGAAAGCAGAAACTTTTTAATTATAACAAACAGCAGGAGGAAAAGGACGGAGACCTGGACTGTCTTTAGGGACCTCACTTAAGCTGAGGAAAACCACATGGCAGTGGGAAGAATCTGGTCGTTAACAAAATAGAATAAAAAACAAAACAAAATAAAACAAAACAAAACACATGGGCTATGTCTGCAGTCACACGGTCAGTGTTTCAGGGCCACATCAAGTAGCATCATGGGTGTCAGGACAGCACTGGGGTAAGGCACCATCAGGCTCACCGCCCAAACAAAAGTTGATCTTCTACAAAAAGTATCTTCTGCAAAATCACCAAAGCCACCAAAAAGAGTACAGCTGTCTCCTCTAGAGCCCCAGCAAAAGCAAACAGACCAAAAGACATATCAGTTAGGTCTCAGGTTGTCTGGAAAGAGCTGCCTGCTGACCACTAAGTTTGTGAGACCCTATTTACCAAAGGAGAGGACTTGTCAGGAACTTGCCTCTCCAACCAGGGCCTGATTCCCTGCCAGCTTTTTCTCATGAGTCAAACCATTCCACATGGACTGCTCTATATAATGGATGCCCTTAGGGAAAAATGATGGCAATGCTTCTCATATTCCTAAAATCAAGCCCTAATATTTCTTTCTTTTAGTCCAACCTTATAGTTCACAGAGATTATAGACCATTGTATATCTCAGTATAGAGTTCTTTTGTCGTCATATTAAATTCTACTTGTTTGATTGTCTTCTAGCTAGACCATGAAATTCTTAAGAACAGGCCCTTATGTTAACTCTTCCCGGCACATAGTGCAGGTGCTTAACGAATGTGTAGCAAACAAGTGAAGGAATCTTCTCTTACTTTTATTTACACATGGAGCAACATTATTTAAATACCATAGATAAATCCAACTGCTACAAAACAAATGGAGTTTGACATTGGTCACATTTTGGCTACGTGGCCTCCATTCCCTCTTCCTAAAAAACCACCAATTTCTTTGGAGGACTAAACTTTCCTTATTGTATGTCATCTTCCTGAGCAATAAGAGCCTCCCATTATGAAGGCTGGAAGCAGTGGTCACATGACTCGGTTTGGCCAATCAGATGTCCTCTCTCGGACTCTGACTCCTGAGTCGCATATAGGAAGAGGAAATAGTTGGACATTATCCACAATGCAGAAATGTACTGACCACTTCTTCTTGTGGTTGGCCATTGTTCCACTTCTGAACTCTACTAGAACTCTACGTTCTTGTTTATTTGGAAGCCCTATCTTCCAGCATTTTCAACTTAATTCTTTGAGCTTGTAGCTTCTCCAAAATTACCATTGACTATGTTAGCAAGTTAGTTTCTGATGCTTTTAGCCAAGAACACTGATCGACATATAATAGTAAAGATGAAACAGAATTAGCAAACTCAATTAAATGAATCCAAATAAACAAAACATGAAGCGGCCAGTATGGTCCGACAAGATACTTAAATGTTAGACATTTTACTTAATCTTAAATGTCAACTAGGATTGGCTGGAGCCTCTCAATTCTACAAATCATTGAATCTAAACCTTTCTCTCAGATTTCTGAAATCTCCCTGGACATTTGTAGTCTTCTGCCACCTTGTGCCTTTTGGGAGTCCATTCTCACACGTGCATTCTCTCTTTCAAATCACATTTACCCAGAAAGGCATGTCAGCCATCTCACCAATACACACTCACACACACATACATATTCACATAAAATATCTGTAGTGTAGTAGGAGTCAGTGCGGTTATATGACCTTGAGCAGATTACTTAATCTCTTTGTGCCTTCGTTACCACACGTTGTAAAATGGGTATAATGTCATGTGCCTAGTATAAGATTGTTTTAAAAATGAAAAGGGATAATACGTGTTAAGTTTGTAGTTCATGACGCCCTCACACATAGTAAACATTCAACACTCAATTTCTAGCCAAGCTAGCAAGTTTTACTGAAGAGCTGGATTCTGGGAGAGTCAGCATACACATCACATACATTTAAAACAAACGAATATACACATGCGACCTTAACTACTCTCAAAGTCCCTTACCATGTCACTGGATATTTCACTCTTTTCTAAGCAGAGCTCAGAGTCTCCTTCTCTGAATCTTCTCTCTTTTGCAACTTTCTCTCCTTCCTCTGTCCACCCATTTTCCTACCTTCAAAGCATATAAAAAAATTCCTTTTTTGTGCCAGGGACTTAGGCTCTTCGGCTCTCACTTTATTTAGGCACTTAACTAAATGAAGACTGTTCCTCACCAGAAAAAGAATTTCTGGTTTCTACTCTTAAAGTAATAAAATTTATTGTATCTAGTTATAACTAGAGAATCAGTTTCTAAAAACCTGATTAGCCATTTGCATAGTACCCTTGTGATTTTTTTCACATTCATTTCTAATGAACATTTTTAAATTACATAATATTCTTTAAATAAACTTTTAATTTTTAAGTAAGTGTATTTTAAAAGGAAACTTTATTTCACTACTATAAGTGGCAAAATAATACTACTCGCCATAATAGTTACCTTAAAATAAATATTTACTTTAAAAGAAAAAGATGTTCATATACTATCTAAAATCATTATCTGTTACTAGTGATCCATATATCACAATTTGTAAATGTGAATCTGAAATATCTCCTTTATCATGGACACTCAGATGCTGGATGAAGGAGGAAATGAATGGAAAGTCTGTGGCATTTGCCTGTTACCAACATGGTAAGTAGAGGAAGGGGTGTGGGTGAAGATGAGCACAGGTTGATGAGATCAGGTTAGAGATTTGACAGAGAGGATGGTCCAGATATAAGATTCTGGGGAGTGATATTGTATTCTTGATATTGTATTCTACACAATTGTCCCACAGCACCAGAGACTAATGTGCATTTAATTGAATTATATTCTGTCATTAGATTCCAATGCTGCTATAAATAAATGTTGAAAAGCTAGAAACGTTAGAAATCATAATATCTGAATTATCCAAAAATAAGTGCACCTAAACCAACTGATGCAGTTTTATACAATGTCTGAAACTTTAAACAATTTCATAACTTCTCACCATTGATATTGCTTACTTTGGCCTTTCAATTATTAAAAATAAAATTGAGATTCTCTAGATTCCACTATGCTTTCTCTACATATAATGTCACAAATTTTTAGAGGAAAATTAAACATGTGGCACCAGCTTAAAAATCTGTGTTAAAGTCCTAGGCTTCTGAACCAAGTTAGTATGTTCGATAAATAACAAAGTCCACGATGCTTCTATTGAGAGTGTAAAATATTTCATTGCTCAATAGTCAAAGCCTCTTTGCATATCCGGGTGTACTATTACACAGCCCTATTCAAAATATATGTAGTAACAGCAATGACTAGCTGTTTAAAACCCTTTAGTAAATACTCACCATGTGCCAGGGATTATGTGTGAGACACATTCTACTCTGAAAAAAATTCCTGGTTTGGGGTGATAGCAAATCTTCGCAACTTGAGTCACATTACACTAGAGTCTCTGTCAAGACACGTGACAGTTCCCTTTTGTCACAGCATTCTGCTACATCAGAAATCGACTACAGAGGCACAGTGCCCCTGCCCTACACCCAAAACGTGCTTTCTACAGGTCTCACATGAAAGAAACACTGTCCTGTGATTACACCAGGAATGTATTTTTTTATAATGACTTCCAGCTATTGATATCTATGGCTAGTTCTCAGCCTCAAATGCCAATCCATAACAGTTAAGCCTTATTGAATACAATATTCTTGCACTCTTTGGTTGTGCCAACTAAAATACAGTAAGCCTTTTAAGAAATAACTTCCCTAGGAGCCATCTTATTATTTGATCTCCAAGGGTGACAGGAAATTACAGGAAAACAAAACAAAGACCATTTAGCTTTATATAACTATACCATGCAACCATCATGTCACATAATCTAATGACAAAGAGAAGTGGGCAAACCAGAACCTGCTATAAATAGCTATTTAAATATCTATTCAAGTTTAGATGTACAGATTGATATTCTTAAGCTTTTGTTACACTATTTAAATCCATCTTCTTTCTTTCTATTACTGAGATGAATATCTACTTTCACATAACACCATCTTTCATAGTGCAAACTTTTAGTACAGTGATCTGGGAACATTTGTAGCCATATTTGTCATTTAAGCACAAGTGAGAAAAAAACCACTAATAATCGAACCAAACCACACTCATGGTTACATATGAAATGTTAGAAAAAATCCATATCTATTAGCTTTGTAACTCTACTAACATAGATTTTTCAGAAGCCTCGTAGTTCAAATGACCATAATTTGCAGTACAATATATACAGAAATGTCACATACCTCACATTAGCATCAAGTTCGTCCATTACAGGAAATACGCATGGGTGAGCTGGACGTCAGTGCCCACAGGGTCCTATAATGTGGAAATAAATAAGAGATTAGACCATAAGGTCTATAGGAAAATGAAAGTCCTTGTTAAAGGAAAAAAAAAATTGTCAAATAATAATTGCTTCCTACTTATTAAGAATTTTGTAGAATATCAGAAAAGTAGTTAATAAACAACACTATGGCAAAAGCTATTGGCACATTGAGGTATGGCATAGCTGTATTGCAAAGAGTTTCTTTAAGTTTTACTAATCTCCAGGAGATGAAAACATACAGGTACTTCTTTTTACTCTGGAAACATAACTTCTTTATGTGATCTGTACTAGGACACTAGCTAGTGAAAATAAGTAACTACATTGTTAGATTAAAATAGTACACTGCCTAAAATAGTCAGTGGTTTTGTTTCCCATGAGGATTTGCGGGTTTTTGGGTTTTTTTTTTTTAAGCCCTTTTTGAGGATGGGTAATCATATATCCCTCTGAGAATCTTGTAAACTCTTGAGAACTCTCTGCCCAGAAAAAAACATGTGTGTGCATGCACCTACACACTTTCTGAGAAGCCCACGACTCCTTGAGGCCCACCCATGAACTTTAGGGTAAGAACTCCCAGTCGAAGGGGAATTAACTTTCAAACTACCAAGAATTCCTCTAGTATTGACTCTCAGAGGGCTTTACACCCTTTAATGGACAGACACTCACTGATCTTCACCAAATTGGCTCTCTATACTGACTGTACAGTTTCAATTTTCAGAAGAATTCCTGTTTTTCATCACATTTGTTCCACAACATGATGAATCAGAGAATGTAGTGGCAGAGTGTGGTCTGTTTCTTCCGGGGTTACCCTGAGCAAGTCCCTTTTTCATTCTAAGCTTCATCATCTACTTCTCAACAAACAGAAAGGATTGGAAGAGGTGATCTCTGGGTTCACTTTCAGCTCTGGTATTCTATAATTCCATCTGCTAGTTTTCTAATCAAATCTTACCAAGAAGAAACTGTAAATCTGTTTATCTACATAACAGAACCATGAAGCTCAGCCTGGGCCCTTGGATGCTTTGGTCAGGACCACGCACACATGCCTGGCAGCCAGGAAGAGAATGGCAGACCACCAGAGCTGGAAAGGATGTAGATCTCTCTCTGGGGTTTTCAATGTTTGTTCTTTAGAGCCTCTAAGATTAACATGGGTGCCGGTGGGCATTTCTGGGTCTGTGGCAGGTGTGGGGAAAGCTTCGCCTACAAGACTCTGAACCCCTGACTTTGACCTCAAGCAAAGTAGCTCTGTCCGCTTCTATCTCTTTTACATTTTGAATTTGGAATGATCTTTTATTTGAAATACTTAAGTACAAAATCTTAACAACTAATGTGACAGGGCTCCCTCCTCTTTCCTCCTCCATCTAAAATCATTCCTAAAGTGATCACATCCATTTCCACAGCTTAAAATACTGCCTATTCACTGAAGGTTCCTAAAGCAATATCTCTAGTCTATCTCTAGCGTTTTTCTCACATCTTACAACTAAACTATCAGCAAACTCATTCTCTCCACTTTGAAAATGATTCCTTAATCTGACTTTTTCTCATTACCTCCAGTACCTTGGTCCAAACAACGTACCATCTCCTTTCCCCGGATTATCACCATGCCCTCCTAACTGGTCTCCTGCTTGCTCTACTATCATCTCTTCTCCCCACGGTAGTCGGAATGATATTTTTAAAGTGTAAGTCAGATCATTACATCTGTGCGTGTGTGTGTTTCAGTGATAGTCATGCTATATCCTATCACCTGGTCTAAACAACAAGAAGTAATTACCTCCATGTTGGTCTCTTTCATAGAAAAAGTCCTAGAAAATTATAACCAGAAAAAAAAAAAAAACATGGCAAGTCCTGGCAGAGGGGTAAACAAGTGTCAAACACTTCTACCATGTGAAGTACAAAGGAAGGTCTCAGTATTCTCTCAGGGCTAGGACAAGCTCAAGCCACTGGAATTATTCAAAACATATTTTCTGTCACACAAGGAAAGCTACGGCAACATATAACTCTATTAGCATCTGTGGGGCTTCTTCTCCTTGATGAATACATTCAGACTCTGGCCTTTCCTTAAAAAGAGAGGGGGAGGAAGAGATCATCTTATTTATGCCACCCACTGCTATTCCAACCTTTAGTTTTCTGGCTTACACATTCTAAATAACTAAAGGGTAAACCCAAAAGGTAAGTACACTCCATCTTTACCCTTGTTCTTTGATTCAGAATACTCTGAAAGATTGCTGTGGAGTAGTCATTAATGGTTAACAGAAGGTGTGTGGTTGCATCTCTATTATAAAAAGTGTGAGCACAGGACTCACCTGTAAATAGTCCCCACCTATTGGAGTCAAATATCAATGTAGTTTGGTACAGTGCCAACATCTTCCAATCTGGAACTATGTCATAACCTCAGCTTGCTTTGCTGCACTTTTTTTTTGGTGGGGCGGGGGGTGGCTAAATGGGTGGATATTCATGCATAACTGTGCATGGATTGACCACATTTCTTTATAGAGTATGCCTACATGAGTTAAATTTCTACATCAAAGGGCATATTTTAATGCCTTTGTTTCGGACAACTGTCAGGAATAAGTAAAACATTATTTATCTAAATTGCCAAATTGAGGGTGGAAGCCTGACATATAGAAGCAGCACTGGACCAGGAGTTACTGTGCCTGGGTTCATAGCCCAACTCTACTACTAACTCATTGTTCCTATTCTTAAGCAAGTGTGGGGAGGAAAAATAATTTTCCCTCAACCCTTCTATGTTCTTAGCTGAGAACTCCCTATAACAAAATATAGATATACAGGAGAAAGACAAACAAGTTTAACATGTATACCTCCTGTATACATGGGAGAGACCCAAGAAAACTGAGTAACTCTTCTAAAAGACCCAAGACCCTGCCTTATATAACATCTCCAGCTAAAGATAAAAGATGTTGGGAGATGGGGGAGGTCATTATGGGAGGTTATCGGAAAAAGCACAGTAAACAAGAGTAAAGTCATTATGCAGATTAAGACATTACCTTCCCCATTAATAAGAGTTTTAAGAGATTTAGAGTCATTCTTCTCTTCCTGGTACCAAGCAGAAAACACAAATGGAGATTTCTCTTATACTTGTAAATGTTTCTTTAAAAAGGGTAACTTTTACTCAGTTTTCAGAGTTTTTTCTATGTCTCTGGTTTCTTAAAAATAATCAACCTAAAATAATGCTTATGCCAAAGAGACGTATTTTGGGGTGGCAAATTCGGCTCCCCTTCACAAGTCTGTTTACCAATCTGGGTCTCAATTTCATCAACTATTGGATAGACTGGGCTAGAAGGTGTTGGGCAGGATGAGCAAAGGGAAAAATTTCAGTTACAGCTTCACAGTAGTTAAAGGAAATTTCAGAAAGCTGAGTTTCTCATCATTGGAGGCATTTAGGCAGCATGTGGGTAACTGTTTAAGGATGTCTATCTAGATGAGAACTGATTCTGGTGACTGCTGGGGTTTCTTCCAATGCTAAAATTGTAGGACTGTGATAGTCCGTGTTATTTCTGCCTCTCATAGCCCCAGAAAAAAAAAGAACCAAGTTTTCTTTAATCATTTTCCAATTTTAAAAAAGAATGCATGCTCAATTTACATATACTGTCTCAAACAGGCATGATCTCAGACATTTCTGAGCAGGTGGGACAAAAATAATAGCAGCGAAATGTGTAATCGAATAAGGCTAGGTATCTGATAAGAATTCCATGTTCAAATGCTTCTCATAGGCCTCGTTACCTCATTGCCCTAACTCATTATTAGCCGTATGCACAAAAACACACTTTCTCACCAGGATCAAACACACAAGCATCCCTCATCTTCTACAACCCATGGTGATCATGATTTCCTATAAACTCACTATAAAAACAATTCTTGAACCTTCTGAAAAATTGCAACTATGCGCATACTGACTACATGGGAGAAAAAAATTCATTCCTCTCCTCAGCTGTTTACTTTGTTTTCTGGAAAATATTTATCAATCGTAGGATGCTGACTCAGCAATTTTTTTTTTAACCTCTGTGAAAAATGACATAAGTAGAGCCATTTCCAAATGGAGTCAGAGCTGCCATTCCAGAGAAATTTGGAGTTCTTTCAAAATTTAGACTGTGGATAAAAAAGGGAGTTCTATGAAAAGTAACCTCATAGGGTGATCTGTTCATAAATTCTTAACTAGGCAGATCATGGTGGGTAGTCATGCCCCAGGCATGAAACTTCTTCAGTAAAAAGATTTATCTTTGCCTTAAGCCAGCTCTGTCCATTGTTTCTAAGCATCTAGGTTAACACACCTTTGAGATGCTTTTCAGACCCCTCATAGGAGAAACCACCCTCAAGAGCGCACATAATCTTGTTAACTATCCTGTAATCCAATCTGCTTTGTTTCCTTCCACCTTCATGTAATCTTATATTCCCTCCTTAATCCCAAAAGAAGCTGCAAACTGTCATTCTAAGAAGCATTTTTCTTAGTCTGTTGAGACCTTGCTTTGAGGCATATGCCTTGTTTGGCTCAAATAAATTTTATAAAAATTCTCTACGGGTTTGAACATTCTTACGTTGACAAGACGGAACTGGGCCAGGCCTTTGGACTGGGCCAAGCCAACACTGTCTTACAAACAATTGTTTGTAAAACCAGCACAAAAGTGTACATAAACATGGATAATTATGGACTTTCTATCTAAATACAGATCCAGTAACCAATCATTTATAGCCAAGAGTAGCTCAGCTTATCAGCACCTATAGGAATTCTTTCTTTTTTTATGTAATTATTCCTTTCCTTTTCTCTCCCTTCACTCTATCATTGGGACACTATTTGAATTTCTGCCTGAACCTGTGCCTCCCTAGCTGCTATTCTTTGATCCCAAATAACCACTTGTTGCTTTTCATTTTGGCTTTTTAATTTTAAGTTAAACCTCAATCAGTTGATACATACTATTTAAATGAATTTCTCTCTGTAAATTAGTTCTGGAAAAAAATCATCTTATTTGTTTATTTATCTGGA